ATTTTTGTGAGTTTTAGGATAATGGTTTGTTCCAGTGATTCCTTAAAGTTGGTTATTGAGATTGCTCCTTGAAATTATCTATAGTATGTTGGGTCAACCCTGGTCTTTGGGTTGTCTTAAACCAGTCAGGATTTAACGCAAGCTGGGAGACAGTTGAGGACATAGGAGCTCTATGATCCATGGGTTTGTGAAGAGCCAGTAACAGCTTAGCGAACAACAGCCCAGCCATAAATCACAGTTTAACTACCATATTTTTGGAGTATAAGACACACCGGAGTATAAGATGCACCCAGATTTTCACCCTCTTTTTTAAGGGAAAAAGGTGTGTCTTTATACTCCAAAAATATGGTAGTTAAACTCTGATTTATGGCTGGTCTGTTGTTCACTAAGTTGTTACTGGCTCTTCACAAACCCACGGATCACAGAGCTCCTATGTCCTCAACTGTCTCCCAGTTTGTGTTAAATCCTGACTGGTTTAAGACAACCCAAAGACCAGGGTTGACCCAACATACTATAGATAATCTCAAGGAGCAATCTCAATAGCCAACTTTAAGGAATCACTGGAACAAACCATTATCCTAAAACTCACAAAAATGCTGATGATCACCGTCAAGACTACATCTCTAAAATAAGTTAGAATACAGGGAAGCAAAACTCCAAACCCAACTGCTCAAACTAAAACTCGGAACCAAAGAGGTACCTGAACTTAAATGGGTTGTCAACATCAAGCTGCTCACTATGCTCCACAGAAAACAGTATCCTACAGAAAGGCCTCAACTATAACACAGATGATGCTAAACAGTTAGAATTCTTTACAGTTTGGCCACAGCATTTAAAACCACAGAACTTGCCACAGTGACAACACAAAAAGCTTCCTGGCTAAATGAGGAACTGAACCTTTGCCTTTCCAGACAGTGTGTCACTCAAATCATTAAACCAAAAGTTATCTGTGAAAACATAAATATCTAGAAAACCATGCATCTGCACTCCTGAACATGTTCATAAAAATCAGGGTACAATATTAGAAAGACAACCTCAATTAATATTGTTTTATACAAAATGCAAGAAAAAAAGATAAAGATATACAAATTAAGGCAATACGTTTCGGTTTCAGCTGGCCAAAAGATACTTTTATACAGATTTTTAAAAAGTGATTGACTGGAATTACTAGAGAATATAAGAACCTATTAATGAAGTTTCTAAAGCAGGGGTGTCAAACTCGATTTCATTGAGGGCCGCATCAGTGAGGTGTTTGACCTCGGGGGGGCCATGGGGTACGTGGCCAGCTTGAGATCACTCATGTCAAGGGCAACTGTAGTGGCTGGAGTGTTTTCCCAAGGAAAAGGGTCTATTGAGCTCCATTTTCGGCTGTGTCAGCCTCCTGCAACCCTCTCCAGTGAAAACGGAGCTCAGGAGGGCTACCCACAGGCCTCACAAGCTTCATTTTTGGCTGTGCTGGCCTCCTGAAACCCTCTGTCAGCTGGTAAAGGCACCGTGAGCCACTCCTTTGCTGTATCCAGGCAGGCTGTGCGAGCCAGATCTAAGCACCCCATGGGCTAGATCCGGCCCCCCGGCCTTGAGTTTTGACACCCTTGTTCTAAAGTATGTAGATCAGCAGTTCTACAGACCTCAGTTTTGTAG